TAAAATTCAGGAGTGGTAGTTTAGAGAAATGTTACTAAATAATTGGCTACTGCTTAGAATCCTGTCAGTTTGCTATGAAAATCATGTAGACATGATCTTGGACAACTCAGTGGATGGAAATGGAAAGGTGATGGTTGAACTGGGTTGCTCTACTGTTCATGCTTGGAATGGATGAGACGCAAAGCAGTTGCAGAAACTTACATGAGACTGTTAACGACTGGAAAGAAGTTAATGTAAAAGTGTAAGCCAATTTAGTCTTTCACTGTAAAACAAGACAAGGAACCTACAAACTGCAGAGATAAAGAGACGGGACAGGATGTCCAACTGGCCATTCAGGGGGTCAACAGCAGAATTTGATACCACTGCTTCCGTCCATCCATTCTCTTCTCTTCCTGTTTTCTCAGTTCTTCAGATCCCTTTCCTTTTCAGTCTTTTGCAACACTGCTGCTTTTGGCAGTTACAAACAGAACTGTTTGCTTTCTTAATTAAATCATTCCCATTTGTGAGTTTACATGACTCACACCAGCTATTTAAGGTGTTCAGTATGTTCCACAGTCAGTATTCAGAGAGAAACAACAACATGTACAGTTTAGTGCCAACAAAGTGCTTGCACCAAAATTAACCTGGAATGACAAAGAACCTTCCACCATCAATACTGCTATCACTTGACAGAGGTGGAAAGATTAAACAAGACTGTATTGTGGTAGAATTAGGTTAGTGTTAGGGTTAGGCACTAATTGTTTGTGTATGAGAGAAAGAAAAAAGGAGAGAGACCTTTTCTATTCCTGTATCTGTCATCTTATATCTTTATACACATTCTTTCTCCATTGTGTAGCATCAAGCCATCTGTGCGTCCGTTCCTGCAACTCTGACACACTTCCTATACTGCTAGTGTGTGTGTATGTGTGTGTATGTGTGAGCCACTTCTTGTTTTTGGTAGAGTAATAAGGAAACTCATAGTCAGGGCTTTTGTAAAGATCTCATTGTCAACCACTACGTCCACACTCCTAATGGGCCAATACATTTCGAGAAGAATAGCAGGAAATAGAAAGTGGTTGTGTAAGCCTGCCAAGGCCTGCTGTCTTGCTTAAAATGTAGTTTCAGAAAATGTTGTAACCTTTCTGTGGTACCATTTATTTTTATCCACACCTCACTAGTGGCTTGCTTGCACACAGGCACCATTTGACAGGCGGGTCAGATATCATTAATATTATCATAATTTCTCACACAAATACACCTGTGTTATAGGAAATAGCAGTAGTTGTAGAAGAGGGGTGAGCACTGTTTCCTTAGTGTAAGACGCTTTGGTCTTGAATCAGGAACTGACCTGATGAAAGTTGCTTTTCTTGAAACTTCACACAGAAAATGTGTTTGTCATTTATGAAATGATCACAATGATTCATGTAGTTTTTTGAATTGGATTAATATTTTTAAGCTATTATTATTATTAATTTTCTACAGTCTTTCCTGGCACAAAGCCTGCTGTAGCTTCTCATAGTGTCACACACCAAACCTAAACCTTAGATAGCACAGTAATCACTTATTAGAATGTGCAATTCTGAAGACATTGCAAGTGTGATCGCAAAGCAATCTGGAGCTTTAGTGTTCAGCACATATACAGGACGAAGTGCGTATTGAACCTTACTAAGTTACCTTACAATTTGAGGACACCTGCTCTGCCAACTAAATCCCTTTCGCAACAAGATGCTGACCGTGTTTGATCAGGTTTTGGGTTCTCCACACAAATCTTGCTTCTGTAAAATTAAAGTCCCAATAGAGGGCACTCAAAGACCACAAATGACTGTCACAGCATTATCTCGTGATCTGATCTGCTTTAGCCACATATAATGTAACAACTACATTAGTTGAGGGCGTGACAGAAAACATGATGACAATCCAAACAAACAGATTAAAAATAGCATTCCATTGCTCTTGCGAAAATGTGACATTTATGTAGACAAAGACAGAAATCAGCTTAACAGCTTTCTGACTGACAACGGCAGCAGTATGAACTTAACATTGTAAAGGCACTCATTAAGCACAAATACCACACACCTGTAGGTGCCACACAGTCCTGTTAAAGTGACATTTCGACAGCGCTTTTGTCCGCGTCTGGACTCAAACCACCTGCATCCTAAGATGGCACTCCAAAGGCAATAAGGCTACTCAATGAGCTACAACTAGACACACGATATAAAATGATAATATGTAAAACATTAAAAAAAACAACTGTTTACATTAAGAATACAGTCTTTTAATTTGAATTTTTATATAGTTTATGTAGAGCAAGCAAAAAAAATTAAATAAATAAATAAATTTGGAATGGAGCACAAATAAATGGCCAGGGGAGGTTGATTAGATGCAGATGAAACTAATGAGTTAGTGGCCGGTGATCACACAGGTGGAAAAGACCTGAATCTTTCCTGGTTCACTGAGCACCTGAATCGGTCCAGAGGGCCACAGTTAACAAGCTGTAAGTGTTACTTCTTCTATCTGTAGCTTTAGCTGAAACTCTGCCCTCTGCAGTCTGGCTGCAGTCTTACACCAAAGTGTGTAACAAGGTAAGTTTCATGGGACCGAAATGGGGACAGTATAGTTTGTCAATGAAAATAAAATTTGGCATTGAAACAAGAAATCATTGGAATTTAAATATTTGTAATTACAAAAGTTCTACTGAAGAACAAAATTATTTCAATTTATTTGGATATTTGTTTTGTATTTTGATGTGATATTGAGTGGCTGTTTTTTTCTTCATGTCTATGTTGGGGTTTTTTTTTACAATCACTTTTTTTATTTTTTTATGATGTCAGTACTTTCTTTAATGTTCTCTGTTTATAGTTACAAGTCTCTGTCTCTGCTTTGTGATAGAGCGGAGGAGTTTAAAAAGATGGGCAGGTAGAGTCCTTGAAAGAGAGAGCCACTGGGATGATGCTACAGTTTATTGTGGGACTATCGTACATCCATCCATCCATTATCTATACATTGCTTAATCCTCACTAGGGTCACGGGGAGGAGGCATTTATTGTTGTTTTGTTGCACCAACCCACCACAACAAATTCCTTGTATTGTGTGAACTATGCCTGGCAATAAATCTGTTTCTGATTCTGATCAGTCTTCAATGTATTCTAATGTACTTGGTTTATTTGCATATTTACTGATAATAAAGTGTGTTATTTGTTACGTTGACAAATATTGAAACTTACCTCAGGGTGTCACTGGTTATCATGATTATTGACAATATAAGTTGTTTGTTAATGACAGTAATGTGTTTTATTTCCTTGTTAAAGAAGTAGAATATATCCTGCGCTGCCTCCTTGTTGACAAAGCATCTGGGTTTATGACCACACCCTCCCTGACACCCGAGGGCCAGGAGGGGCGACATTTTCAGACACTGTTTACTTTCATTTTCAGTCATTTTGGTGTTTATTTTGTGTACACTCCAAAAATAGTTGTTCAAGTTTAGGAACCAAAGCTACTTTGGTTAGATTTAGGGAAAGATCTTGGTTTGGGTTTCAATACGGCTGTGCAAGTGCTACACGTGTGTTGTTCGTTTAGTTGTTTTCTATGTTGCTAGAGTAATAAGTCTCATCCAAACAACAGCCCCTGAAAAACGCAACCATCTCATCATTGTATCTCATCACCGTTATTTGTGAGGCTGAGCTGCTGAAGACTATCAGCAGATTTCTTGAGTAGCTCAGTTAAAACTCGTGACATAGAAAAATCTAAATCAATGTCAAAGCATAAATGATTGTCTTAGCATCGTATCATTGCTTAGACAAGTGACCCTGCAGTGTGCTTTTAAGTTGAATTAACTCCCCCCGTTTCCCCTCGAGCAGATTCAGTGTTGCCATGGGTGAATAAAGCCAACAGGCCAGGATTCTTCAAACTTCTTTCGGGTCTACAGTAAGGGCAGTAACTAAAATGTGTTTTGTTGGCTTCAAAGTCCAGTGAATCACAAGGTCTCTTTTTCCTGTTGCACCCACTTTTTCTGCTGACCATAGCAGGTGGCCTGGAATTCAGCGCAGACACAGTCACACAGTTATTTATGCCCCTCTCTCTCACATATGCAGATATTTAGTCTTCATACCTCAGAGAGAAATGGCAAGTAACAGGGTGCATGCTGCTTTACCTCATCCTCCTCGTCAAAGCGAAGAAGAACACAAAGAGGAAGAGAAGACTTTTGAGAATATTTTTGCAGAGTTAGAATCTGTGGACTTGCCTCTTGGAACGACCTTAAGGTAAAGTCATGCAATATTAAGAACAAAACTGAATCTGTAGTTGATGGCAAACTCATGAACCTAACTTGCACTTGAGTGATTTAAATGCTAGTTGATCTGAATATTAGGATCAAGAGATGCATTTCTCAGAAACTGTGGAAATTTGTGCACACTATTTGAGAAGGAAACCAAATACAATCAAACTTTTAGTGTGATGTACTATTTAAAACACTTGGCTTTTAAATTTTAGGTGGAAAAGATACTGGCTTTATGAATAGCAGCAAGTGCTGATATACTTGTCTATGTATCACTTTTTACATTTCAACTGACTGAGATTGTGGCCTGATGCAAGTGTTATACAATTCATATATATTAAAAACAAAACAAACAAACAAAACACAAACATTTGAATAGCGCACCAGCCAAAAAATAAGGTCGACTTTAGCTGTGTGACTATAAAAATAGAAATGGTTTAAAAGTAGGGTTAGGGTTTTAGTAATGAAGCATTTTATTTTTACGTTGTTGTTATTATCTAAAACATAATAACTAATTTAATTACAGTATCGTTCTGCTAAACTGATGCATGTTTTTCTGTAGTATTTGTGGTAAAGGAATGGGGATGTGCAATTTTGTTGGAAGTGCCAATTCACCATAACGTACAGGATGTGTGGAAACAAAGCTGCTGTCACTGATGTCGGTATAAGTGAAGTGCGCCTCCCACAGGCCAGGCCTCGTACTGAGCTGCACTTCGCTGCAGTGAAGCTGTAATACACACATAACAATCATGGCGGAGAATGAAACCTTGGAGTGTATAACGGAGCACGAGCGGATTTTGCAGGAAATTGAGAGCACCGACACGGCTTGTGTTGGTCCTACTCTTCGGTAAGAATATAGAGCTTCTTAGAAAGCTGTTACCAATTATACTGTCCCTGTGTTTGGTTACGTGTCCTCCATTATCAGACCTTTTGTTTGAGAGCTAGCTTAGCTGTCCTAGCCACCGGCAGGCTAACGTTAGCAGGTTTAGCCAATAGGCTATTTTGTGTTGAAATGAGGAATGGAGCTAGCTGGCTTGTTAGCGAGCTGGCTAACATCGACCACTGTGCGAGTCAGTAGAATACTGCGTTGGTAAAATTCGATTTATGTGAGATTTTCAACATATTGTGTAATGATGGACGACTGGTGACCTGTCAAAATGTAAACATCATTTGTGGGTGTGGCTGTGGGACTTAACATCTTGTTAATGTTATGTAGCTAGTCTTTGCTAACGTTTAATGGGTAACATTTTAGGCTAGGCATTTACCAGAAATGAGAACACCATCGCTTCTGACATTCCGTCGGACCTTGATTGGATGGGTATCTTTTACCCCTGGTGTTGTGGTTGGATCATAGCAGTGAAATTAGGTGCAGAATTCCTCAAGCTAACGCTCTCCATCTCACTGCATTGTTTATATTAGCTAACTAGCTGCCAGGGTAGCTTCTAAGGCCACAATAAATGACATTAGTTTGACAAGCTATTTATAAACTGACTTCAGCCTCAGCTGAATCCCTCCACCTCTAATATATATTTCCGTGCCAAAAAGCCTGCAGGCCGTAGATTTTTGTCGGCATTCATTAGTGATGTTATCACATGGCATTCTTATAACAGCATACCTAGAATGACAGTGACGCCTTTTCCGTGTTGCTTGCTTATACCGGCTTTGATTATAGCTGTTCTACTAAAGTGCATACACCTCCCTTGGGTGCGAACTACTACATGATAAGCTGAAAAGAGGAAATCATAAATGTGTGGTGTGATTGACTGACTAACTTTTCTTTGCACATTGACATCAACTAGTCAGTTACTCAGGCCCAGGAACTATTCAACCTGTTCTGTAAGTTATAAGTACTTTATCTGGATGAGTACCGTTTGACAGAACTCTACTTTGAGCAGCAAGACAGAAATGACATTACATGAACAGGGAATCTTTATTTCTCTTCTGTCATGTCGAACACAACACACTAACTTTCAGTAACTATTCTGCTTATCTAGGCACGTTATGACTGAAAAGTAAAGGAAAATGGTCTGCAGCTGATCATTTTAAATACAAAAAGAGGAATGAAGAGACGGGAGAAGTCAGATGCCTGATGATCAGAGTGCAGGTGCAGGCAGGGAGACAATGACTGAACAGGTGAAAGAAAATGCAATTCATTCAAATACAATGGCTAACACCAGTAGAATGTAATGATTGTTATTCAAAGTCATGATTTTGGCCTCCCACCATTTTATGTGCACAACCGACTGCGGTATTTACATTGTAAATTGCGTTGTAAAAAACACCCTGCTCACACAAAACAGCGCATGTAGATGAGATCATCCGGTTTCATCTTGGACAAATCTGACCTTAGAACACCTTATTTTACTCTTTTCAAAGTAATTTTTGTTCACACACCTGTCTGATAGTAGTACAGCCATATAGCAGCATCTAACACAACCTGCACTGGGAGGTGTAAAACTGAAAAAGTTAGCCCTGCATCAGGAAAAAGTGGATGTAACGAGGGAGGGGTCGATTTGACTGAGAGCTCAAGGACAGTATACACATTATGGTAATGACCTTTCAGCCACGTATTAGCCCTTCCTTATTTTACTCTAAATGGACCATCATTTACGAGATGAACATCAGGCTGTTTTGAAGGGGATGTGAAACTGGTGACTGGGGGCATAAACTCATTAGGAAAATGTTTACTGAGGTAACAGATGTAGGGTGAAGTATGGTCATTTTGTCCTAGGCCCCTTTCAGACATGCACTCTGTTCCGTTAATCTAAAGGCAACTGAATGTGTTGCCTTCATGTCTGAATGCGCACATTGGTCATTGTTTCCATAAAAGTTGTGCCAGCAATCTTACTGGGTTGAACCTAGTAATATTCCGTATCACTTTCAACATGGCACAAATCTGAACTGACCCACCTTAATGGACAGGAACACACAAGCAATACAATACAATACAAAAGACTTTCACCTGGGGCCAATTTAAGGAATATGGAGCAGTTGGATCAACAAATAAATGTACAAATACAATATAAATAATTAAAGGTGCAGGTGGATTGAACATAAATAAGTTTAGTGCCATGTCCACAATGTATGGAATATGCAATTTAACGATGCAAGGGGGGATCATAAGCAGGGAGAGCCGGGGGGTCCAGCGTGGGGAGGCAGCGGTGCGGTGATGGTTGGGAGTTGAGGAACTGGGAATAAAGGTTGTGTTCCTCCTCTGAATACTGCATCCAGGACAGCAGAGCTGATGTCCTGGGGGGAGCAACTTAAACACTGGGAACAGAGCGTGTGAGGGGTCCTGGAGGATCCTGCTCACTGTCCTCAGTGTCTGCTGCTCACACAGGGTGCACAAGTGAGAGTCCAATGATTTTAGAGCAGACCTTGGCGGTGCCCTGCAGGTGGGTCCTGTTTTGCAGACTGATGGAGTGAAACCAGCAGGTTATAGAGAATGTAAATCGATTTTAACTTTAACGATATGAATACATTAGTCGGCAGGCCTCGGGATCAGTCTATATCTACTGTGGAGTGGTCGATGTCCAGTTGTAAAGTTCTGAATCGGCTGATTGGAGCTCTGCTACTAAATATGGTCGTACCAGTCTCACGAGAGTCCTGCTGTGACGTATTATGAGAGTAGTGTTCGCTTAATGTGTTTGCTAGCAACAACAACACAACAGCATGGCCGACAGCACTGGTGTTCCAGTTTAACTGGCAATGCTTATTTATGATTATTTACGCTCCATATGTTCTGTTCAAGGGCTGCAAGGTGGCTCAGTGGTTAGGACTGTTGCCTTGTGGCAAGAAGATCCCAGTTCATGTCCCAGTTAGGACACCCGGGTTCTTTCTGCGTGGAGTTTGCATGTTCTCCCCGTGTAGCTTGGGTTCTCCGGCTACCTCCCACAAGGTCCAAAAGCATGTTGAGGTTAATTGGTGATTCTATATTGTCCATAGGTGTGAATGTGAGTGTGCTTAGTTATCTGTCTCTATGTGTAGCCCTGTGATAGACTGGTGACCTGTCCAGGGTGTCCCCTGCCTTCGCCTTGAGTCGGCTGGGATAGACTCCAGCCCCCCTGCGACCCAAGTGAAGATTAAGCGGTGTATAGATAATGATGGATGGATTGATGATACGTTCACAGATTTGTCCCGACCAGACCTGCATGTGTGTGAAGATAAAGATACTACATTAAGAAGACTTCACAGAAAAACGCAAACATCACTTGTTAATGAAGTCTATGTCCTTGTCAATATCATCTACAGACAGCAAAACGAAACGGGCTGACCAAAATAAAAAACACATATTTTTCAAGCTCGGTAAGAGGATTCAAAACTATGTTGTAAAAATACGGTAAAAGTACGAGTTTGGCATTCTACGCATTGTGCCACTGATCAACTCGATTAGAATCCCTTTTCATTTGTATAGATCTTTTCCATTCTGTCAGGTGTTTAACACCTGGTGATTATTCAGGAAACACACCCAGATAAACTGATGATAGTCACAACTTAACACAGACACGTGCTGCCTGTTTAATATCGACACACAAAACTAAATATTGTCTCACCAAGCAAAACACAATATAGAAGCATGTTGTGTTGTGTGTTAGTCTGTGCATTAAGTGTCAGAGATCCAGAGCAGAACTTGAAACTTAACTCGAGTTTGTTCACCAAAACAAACACAGCAACCTCCCACCACAACAACACGTAGCACAACATTAGTGTGGTTTGATAAAATGCATCAGAATAAACTAAGGCCACGTCAATGTTTCCTCTACATTCATTTAGCAGCGGTGGCCTGCCATTCCCAAACCATGTCATTTGTTTACGCCGCCACGGCTCCCGGAGAGCCTGTCCCCGCCGCTGAAAAAAATCCTACAGGAAACACTGCACGTTGAATGTTTTCAGTTTGCAAAATGTATGGATTGCAACATACTGAAGGGGTTAATGTTAAGATTTTCTCATTTTTAATACAGCAAGTCTGTCTTGTCTGTGTGTATTCAAAAAAAAGAAAAAAGAAACACAATGACATTGTTCTGACCTGATACATTTCTCTTTAATTTTTTTCAATAAACAAATAGATTCAAGCTGTATCGCATTGAATCGCATTGCATCGTAATGTATTAAAATGTATTGTTAGTGAATCGTATCACAACCCATGTATCTTGACTTGTATCGGTTTGCCTCTTAAGGTAGAGATGCACACCCCTATGTATCATATATCACTTTGTGTATTGTCTAATCTTGCATGAACGACAAATATTAAGTGTGTACTGTGGGTCTCTCCAGCATTGTAGGTGTGTCTCTGCGTGAAGGTGTGAGGAGCATGAATGAAAAAGTGACCGATGTCTGGATGACTAGAAAGCCATCACTTTGATAGATGGATGAAGCCAGCAAAGTTCCATATGTAATGTCTGAAAGTGGCTATAGACTTCTATAAAATGTGATTTCTTTTTGGAACCAGATTAAATGCCCCCTATAGCCCGTTACAAGGAGTGCAGATTAAGGGACTTCCAAGTAGGCTTCGTTTTTATACCTGGAGGCGACGTCCAACTTTTATATGGGTTTAGACGAAGATTAACATTAGAGGCTTGTTTGCAAGCTTGGCTGTTTTGGGCCACTGTCTTTGCTTTCTGTGGTTAGATGTTAACATCGCCTTTTGTCATGTTGTCATGTTTCCTGTTTTTGTCAGCACAGGTCGCCTCCATGTGTTGCAGCAGATTGCTCAGTTGGCTATCCAGTTTTACAAATTTGACATATTTTCAAATCACTGAAGTTGTGTTACTGCTCTCCACCACAGTGCCTTTGGTTTGTCTTGTCTACATTTGACTCTCTTTGCAGCGCTTTTCTTACGTGTGGGTT